AGGTGACTGTGTGAGGGTGATGGTGCACGCTGCTCTGTCCCTGGAGATCTGCAGGCCAACGTAGCGGCGCAGCTCTCCTAGGTCAGTGCAAGTGTGTCTCCTCAGCAGCTCGACCGGACGCCAGCACGTCTCTGTCTGCCGTAGCGAAGACCAAGTCGTCTACGAAGACGAGGATGTAGAACGGAGTCTGGCCAACACGAACGAAGAGCGAGGGGTCTGCAAGGAACAGAAAGAACTGCAAGTCAGCCAATCTAGCACGCAGCATGTCGTGCCACTCACGGGGTGCCTGTCGCAGACCGTAGACCGGGCGCCGAAGGAGCCACTGGGTCCCAGGAGGGAAGGTACCAGTAAAGCGCTGAGGACGGCGCAGGTAGACCTGCTCGTGTAGGCTACCCTGAAGAAAAGCAGTGGAGAAGTCGAGGGAGTGAAGCTCGTAGTCACGATGTGCTGCTACGTCTAGCAGTGCCCAAAGAGTAGTCATCTTCGGGGTTGGGGCGAAGGTCTGAGAGAAGTCCACCCCCTCGCATTGATTGAAGCCTCGAGCCACGTAGCGCGGCTTGAAGACAGGCGGCTCTCTAGGAGGGCGCTTCACCTTGAAGAGCGAGTGGCTATCGGCTACGTTCACCCCAGGTGGGGGAATTGCGTTGACGTAGGTGCCGGTGGATCTCCAAGATGCCATCTCCTGCTCCATGGCAGCTATCCACTAAGAAGCCAAGGGTCCCCATCTGCTGCTGCTGCTCGACGCCGACACCGGGACGCCAGCTGCAACGCGACTACCTACGGAACACTCCACTCCAGCACCCCCAAAGCGAGAACCCTCTATAGCATCGGTGCCACCTCCGAGCCCGTCAAGACAAGCCACGACAGGAACCCCAGGATAAGCACCATCCTCAACACCAGCATCCCAAGAGTCCACGAACGGCTGCTGCTGCTGCGGCGGCGGCGGCGACGGCTGCTGCAGTGGCAGCGACTGTGACGGCGGAGGGGGAGACACAAGGGGGAAGACAGGCGGCGGGAGCTGTGTCACAGTGCCACCAGAGTCAGCCGCCTTCTCGACAGGGGCAACCGACGGGGGGGTAGTGATGAGAGACACACCAGACGGAGCAGGATGGGTAGGAAGGGGAGCAGGGGCGACCAGGGGAGTGGGGACCAGAAACAGGGGGGGGGGAACTGGGAGACCTCGGTGGGGAAAGCGGTGGTAAAAGGAGACCGACTCGTCGAAGGTGACGTTACGGGAGTGAAGGAAGCGGTGAGACTGCGGGTGGTAAAAGTGCCAGTCAGACGAGTCCACGTGGAAACCGAGGAAGACACACGGGACTGTGCAGGCAGTGAGCTTGTCCATGCCAGAGGCACGAACGTGAGCAAGGCAGCCCCAGATGTGGAACGCAGACGCGTCACCAGGGAACCCGGTCCAAAGAAGGGGCGGCGAAACCTGCGGCCGCTGGGAGCACGCCCAGAGGTTAGGCTGGTGAGCGGCGTAGCGAACAGCGAAAGGCCACAGAAAATGGGGTGCACCGGCATGAATCATGGAGGTATGCGCCACCTCCATGACCAAGCCGATGCATCGCTCAGTGACCCCATTCTGCTGCGGGGAGTCCGGTAAGGAGTACGACTGAGTGATGCCCTCCGCACGACAGTACTGTCCAAGCCGACCAGAGGCGAACTCGCGGCCACGGTTGGAGTAAAGACACAGCATAGGGAGACTGCACTGAAGGCGGGCAGCCATGACCCACGGGATAAGAACGTTAGGCACATCGGCCTTCCGCTCCAAATGAAACACCGTGGTGTAGCGCGTATAGTCGTCCACGAGCACTAGAAAGTAGCGCTCGCGACGCGGTACGAGGATGGGGGCTGGGCCCCAGACGTCCAGGTGCAGGGTCTGAAGGGGTGCGGTGGCTGGACGTCGCTAGGAGGAGTGAGGAGCATGGCGCAACCAGCTCTCGACGCAGGGCGTACATGGCGGCGCAGGCAAGGGAGGGAGGGCAGGAAGCGACGCAGGGAGACCTAGGACAAGACCGTGCTGAGACATGTGACGCAGGCGCGGGAGTGCGGGGTGACCTAGGCAGTGGTGCCACAGAAGCGACGGGTGAGTGAGCGACGGACACGAGCAAGCCACGGCGACGTGGGTAGACGCACGGCCCAGGGAGGACGGGCCAAGCGGGGGGGGGGGCAGTGTCCAGTGTAAATCGGCCAGACACCGGGTCCCGGGGGAACGTCGCAAGGGGGGAACTTGAGGCAGCCTCGGTACAGATAGCGTACCGCTCGTGACCAAGAAACGTAGTGCTGACATCGAAGTCCTGAAGACAGCCAACACAACTAGATTCCTGGAGAACGAGGGGATATGGAGGCCTATAAGGGAGCCCGAGGGGATCGCGTAACAGGGGAGGGTAGTGTAGCTGCGAGCAACGACAGGACCAGACGAGGGGTCAGCAAGTGCGACAGCGGCAGGCGCGGCAAGCGGCGTGAGTGCGGCGTGGTCGCGGAACAAGCAGGCAGGCGCACCGGAGTCAAGTGTGAATGACAGCGAAGCAGTAGCAGTAGACGAAGGAGGAGCGAGTGTGGAGCCTAGGCTAGACAAAGCAAAAGGTCCTACGCTTGACGTAGCAGGGGAGTCTGTACTACAGACATGTGCTACTCCTAAGCTAGAGAACACAGGGTAATAAGATCCTGACACACTAGAAGCATTAGCATACAAAGAATGCAAGGCAGAACTAATCTGATCCTTGTCTAAGTAAAAAACAGGCACACCATAGCGCAGCAGGCTGGGCCAGTCAGGGAGGTCCGGAGCCAGGCCGAAGCGGCGACGAAAGAGGTCATCGAGGCGGCGGGAGCAGCTTGCGGTCAGGTGCGGGTGGCGACACAGAGTGCCATGGAGCGGTCTGGTCTGGAGCTGAACTGATAGCCCGCTGCACCGACGCTGCCGGTAGACACCGAACTGCGAGGACCGCCACCTCGGCCACCACCTCCAGGGGATCCCGGCCATCCTGGGGGGAGGCGGGCCCACGGCTGCTGCTGCTGCTGCTATGGCTGCTGCTGCTGCTGCTGCGGCTGTTGCTGCTGCTACGGCTGCTGCTGCTCCTGGACACCTGCCCCAGCCCCCTCGTCAGAACCACTATCGCCGCCGCCACCACCACCACCACGCCCTCCCTTGGGGCCGCGACGGCCCCGACGCTGGCGCTGCTATTGTGGGAAGGCCGCCGCTGCGATCTCAGGGGTAGGAGCAGCCGTGGCGACCATAGTGGAGACGTCCGCGTACGTCCACTGGGAGGGAGCACAGCCCTGAAAGATAGGGACTGCCGCAATACCGCTCGACTGAGTGATGGCGAGTCTCTATCACAGAAAGGGCAGCGACAAAGGCGGTCAGGGTGAGGTCACCAGGGTGCTGACTAAGGAAGTGGTCGCGGGCAGTGGCTAAGCGGTCAGGGAGGCGCATGGCAATAAGGTACAAGGTAGCGCAAAACAATGGGGGGAAGGCAGTGAGCTGGGCAGTAGTGCCAGCGGCACGGTAGCTAGTCTCTAGTGCACGGTGGTGAGTGGCGAGATCAGCAACAGTGGGGAAAGCAGAGAGATCGGGGAAGAGCATGGGGAGGATCATGCGGCCAGCTGAGGCGGAGGCAGGCGTAGAGTAGCGTGCAACTACTGCATCTAGGAAATCCTTGGCGTTCACGACAGTAGTGAAGCGCGGACGCTCAGAAATGGGAAGCGCATGACTAATGGCAAGCTGCGCGATAGCATCGTGAGAATCCCAGACAGCGCGAGCAAGTGCAGGAACAGCGAAGGCCTCACTCTCAGTAGTGGTAGGGTTAGCACGGAGTGGATCAGGGGCGGAGGGGCGAAGAAGCAAGCCATCAACATGCATAGCCAGGGAGTGCCCATCCTGGCGCTGGCGTGTCAGGTGCCGGCGGAGATAGACAAGTCTGGCGGCGAAGTTGATCGCCTAGGGCCGGTGAGGCGTGACGGGCCGGTGAGGCGTGAGGGGCCACCTAGGACGCGAGGGGCGGGCCAGCTGATCGCGGAGGGGCCTGCTGGGCACCTAGGGGCGGGCGGCGAGGGCCCAGCTAGGGCGGGAGGGCCCAGCTAGGGCGGGAGGGCCCAGCTAGGGCGGGAGGGCCCAGCTAGGGCGCGTAGGGCCAACTAGGGCGCGAGGGGCTGGCGACGACGTGAGGGGCGAGCGAGGGCACGAGGGGCTGGCTACGGCGCGAGGGGCGGGCCGGCTGGGCGCGAGGGGCCGTCTAGGGCGCGAGGGGATGGCGGGCACGCGAGGGGTCGGCTACGGTGCTAAGCGATGGCGGGCACACTAGGGAGGGGCGGAAGGCGCACTAGGGGACGGCGGTGTATACCTGAGTAACACCGCTTAGCACCGCCCTGGTGGGGCAGGCGCACTAGGGGACGGCGCGGGGCGGAAGCAGGGGGGGGGGGGGAGAGGGGGGGGGAACCTAACCTACGCATGATACCCTGTTAGAATACTAGAATAGATTGAAACAAGAGTGAACAAGAGAGATATAGTGTTGGGGTTGTACCCACTAAGAGCATAACCTATCTAACCTAAAACTTCTACAAAGCATCATATGTATAAGTTGACATTCATGTGTCCTACTTGTTTAGATACATTCTAGAATAGAGAGCTGGAGCGCAGTTACCCATTTTCCCACTAAAACCTACTCAAGGACTAGGGACATGCCCCTACCCCCGTGTCAGGACTTTTTTGAAAGTTGAAGACACGAAATTAGGAACGCACCCTAAGGTTCCCTCTATAACTGCACCCTCGGGGTTGAGATCTCATTACCCTTTCAGCACCCCATCGCCTGAGCAGAGCATCTACGGGCGAGGCGAGGGCTTGAAAAGCGAGGCAACTCCGCCAATCGTGCCACGGACTGTATCACTCACAACCCCGCCGATGGCGCTACTAATCCCGCCGCGGTTACTAGCGGTGTTCGCTCCCGACCCGGCGACCAGATCGGGGGGGATACCGGCTGCTGACCTGTCTTTGACATTCCGGCCACGTCAGATAGATCCCCGGCTGGTGTCCTTTCCGCACCGCGTAGTACTTAGTCTTAGAAGCGTCTTTGCCTGCACGACCCGGCGGCTTGGCCTTAGTCATCGCGATCTGCGCCAATAGCGTCACGCGGCGGCTCGTCAGTGAATGCAGCGCCGCGATGAGGCGCATTCGTTCCTCGTTCCTTCTGGTACTCCCTGCGCGTCTGGTCAGTACTTAGGACGCGGCGACAAGCGCTTTCGCTCTCTGTCCGATGGACCCCCCACACTACTGCACTGGCGAACAGCTAAATGTTACTCGATGACGGGCTTTCGCAAACGCGATACTAGAAATGCGATTGTCGCTGGCGTCCGTTCGCTCATGGTGACCGCCTCTACAGTGACGGCTAGCAGTTGTCTAATGTGATGACCGTTTGTCCTCCGCTACTGGTGACCGTTTGTCTATTTTCCCCTACCAAAACCTAATAGGTCGTTTCCTTCTCACAGCAACCCATCTCTTCCCCGCGTCGCGCAACCGAGGATCGTTGACACCTAACGATGGTCAAATACCTCTGTCCCCAAAAGTGGGTCCTTGCGAAATATATTCGATAAGGCAGAAGACGTTTAGAACGCACATTACTGTACTGTTACAGCACTATAGTAAAGTTGCCATCCACGTAAACAATAACGCAACCATATACGACTATATACTTCTCATGGCATTTGGGAAAATCAGATTCGGTTATGCATGACTACCTCATGACCTTTCACATTATTTTTTGTTAGATAAAACGATAAGAGCAATATTTGGAAGTAAAACTTAGACCTCCCACTAATGAGGGTGTGCACATACACGCATGAGAAGAGAGAGCTGGAGCGCAGCTGCCCAATTTCCCACTAAAAATTTCCGACGAAGGGCATGCCCCTACCCCCGTGTCCGTAGACTTCCCTTACGACACGAAATTAGGGACACACCCTAAGGTTCCCCTCTATAACTGCACCCTGGGGGTTGAGATCTCATTACCCTTTTACCACCCCATCGCCTGAGCAGAGCATCTACGGACGAGGCGAGGGCCTGAAAAGAGAGGCAACTCCGCCGATCGTGCCACGGACGGTATCACTCACGACCCCTCCGATTGCGCGTCCAATCCCACCGCGGCTACCAGCGGTACTGGCTCCAGATCCCGCAACCAGATCGGGGGGGATAAGCAGCGTGCTGGTGCCCTGGATCGTGAAGTCCGAGCCTACCCACAGGTTCGGCACCAGGAGCGCGGTCGGCAGCTTCGCGGCGCCTTGGAACGTGACGATCGGCTGGCCCTTGGGGCCGCGCTTCGTGACGATGTTTCCCTCGATGGTGTCGATCTCCGTCCCCGGGGGAATGTCGGTGAGGTTGCGGAAGAGGTAGCGTGTGGCGATGATGTTGTACGAGAGAATGGCGGTCTGCTGGTCCTTAGTGTAGCTATTTAGCGCCACGATGTTTGCTGGGAGTAGGATGGTTATGTCCGTCAGAGGGATCTGCTTTTTCACTGCGAAAGGGTGACGGGTTGGGGAAGCATGAGGTTTTTATGAGCGTCGGTATTTATGGCGAAGGCTTGGCTTCGAACGGGACAATTTCAGGAGAAGTGAGAGGGAGGAGACGAAAAGGGAGTTTGGTTTTGGAGAATCGTGGAATCAACAACTCAAACGGCGGCATTGATTCAGCTGAGACTTACGATAGTCGTCGACGAATTGGTGAATCGCTTGGTAATCCGGGCGTTGCGAGATGCTGGTGACGGCTCGATTCACTTCCTTGGTTTTGAGTGCGGACACTAGACTGCTGCTGTGCCATGATAGCACGATGATCGCTAGGAGAGCTACACGGTGGAACGACCCCATAGCCTAAAGGCTACGAAATCAGGAAATGGTGAAAGAGAAGCCGCGAAAGTAGCACGAAAAGGGAGCACGGAAAATAACCTAGCGCGCCTGCTTTCCGTGGGTTTGAGCTGATAGCTTTATATGGAGCTTTGTCCTGAAGTCAAGCGTACGGTGGAAAGGGTAGGCCTTCAGTAAGCAAGGGGGAATGGCAGTTGCCAACTGGGATGGTGATGGATGTGCAATGCTCGTCAATCTGCGCAATTTGAAGTGGAAATCCTGTAAGAGAAATCGAGTCGCGTACGACCACCTCCAGACGTTCTGACTGACGGCATCGCACACGGATTTCGTCCGAGTCTCTGCGAGGAAGGCTCGTCGTAGGGCTGGTGGTGATACCCAGATGCCCAGGGTGAGAGGTTTTCGCCTGTGATTGCGAAACCGTGTTCTGGCAGGTGGCTTGTAGGGGAGTTTGCTCCACTTGTCGGTTCACGATGGGCCACCTACGCTGGCTCTGTGAAAACTGTCGGCTCTCGCCGAAAGAACACCGCTGAACGGCGAGACTGTCGGTCGGCGAGTGGTGCCTGATGAGTTTTCGTTAATCGACCTTCAGGCGAAATGGAAAATGCACTTCGAAGCTGACTCGTGAAAGAATGGCTCTGCACCGCAGCTTTGGTTCAGACTACCCACCAACGTGATCATTCGTACAAGACATATTCCCTTATCACCCGGGGGGGCTATGCTGCAGATTTCCCTTTTAACTAATACTGGCCGTACGGTAGGGGCAACGTGGGTATGGGGTTTCCCCAGGAAATGGGGCGTTGTTTCTTGAGTACTGTGGATGGGCAGCTTGACTGGCGTATGCAGCGAGTGAGTAAACATCGCCACGTCGCAAGCCTGTCCACCTGTGTTTCAACTCCGCGTTTCGAGAGACTGTCAGAATTGATTCCGCATGTGACAAACATGGACTGCAATACAGCAACAAGCATAATTGATTCGACAAAGACAGCACTTGACACTAGACTGGACTCAACATTAGACTCCGACCGAAAACCATGCTTACGTTTACCGATACTACCCAACTTCGTCCAACATAGCACAACCCCCTCGCCGCCAAGGTCATAGGCAGAGCATAAGGCTTCTCATGCCTCCACATACACGCTCTAAGACAGCGTGTTGTAAGCCCCTCTCAGCGCACAATCGCACCACGCCCAACCGCACTGCCATAAAAGTTCATCGCGCCAAACCCGCACTGCATAATTAACCCCCTAGTACACGCGATAGGTAGCGGGCTGCGCGCCAAAGGTCATCCACTCGCCCGCGTCGGGGTATTCTGTCATAACCGCAGTGGTCCCCCGGACGTGATTGCGGTACTCTTCCTCCGCGGCGCCGGGCGCATTGTTAGTGTCCACGGGGGGGAATGCGCGCTCCAAGCGATCAATAACCGCAGGTTCGCGGATGTCAAACTGCACTCGGAGATCGCGTGGAGCCAAGGCAATGGACTTGGCATAGTCGATTAGCATCTCTGTCGCCATGCACGACAGATTGCACCGGTTCCGCGCTGAGTCGTTCGAAGCCGGGGGGGGGGGGGGGGGGGGCGCGTTCGCCCATTACGCATCCCGCTGGGCCGGGCCAAGCGGCTCTAGCTCGAGCGGATCCACCCCGCTCGGCTCGCTCGTCTCGTTGTCACGCTCGGCGGTGACGAAGCGAGCGGCGGAAATCATATCGCCCGGGCTGAAGGGCAGGGCGCTGATGATCTGCTGCACCGGCTCGATCTCATGCTCTAGCTAGGGCTCCTGCTCTTCGGGAGTGGCGTCGAGGAGAGGGAGCAGTGGCTGCCTGCTGGCGAGCAGCATTCGCGTCCTCCAGAAGCACTTATGGATGGTCACGATATCCAGGCGAAGGCACGAATCCGACACCCAGGTTACCACCTTCCACATCTCGGACTTCCACTTCATAATGGCAGCGACGGTGACGCCAAGGATCTCCCACTGGGCGAGAACTGCTGAAGCAACTCCACCTTGTCATGTGCCTTCAGAGCGGCGATGAGGCCCTGGTCTAGAGGCTGAGTGAACGGGGTCGTGTTCGGCAGCAGGTACACGAGGCGCACGTGCGACAGCGCGCGCGGCTGAAACCCGCAGATGTCGGCTGACGTGGCGAGAATCGACTGGAGCAGGTGACTCGACGCGTTATCGAGCATGACGCCGATGCGGCGTCCTTCCGCTATACAGCACGCGTTGATGTGCTCGAAGAACGCCGTGAAAACCTACGCGGGGCGTATGGGGTGGACGGGTTTTGAGCCGATTAGTATTCTTGTCGCACGCCATATTTTTCATCAGAAATATTTCGGCACGGTGCATGCATGCGATGGAAAGCGCGGCAGTTACCTCTGCCGTCATCCATGTGGAGCTGTTCGCGTGCTAGTAGCAGTAGTTCGCAGGGTCAATGTCTGCTTTGCGAAGCAACGGGGCCGCTCGAACTTGTGAATGATGAGCGGCTTGAAAAGCTTCGAGCCGACCGCATTCACTAGCAGCGCGACAGTGAGCTGGTCCTTGCAGACCTGCTTGCCCAGGGTAGGGTCAATGCTGAATGTGTGGTCGGGGAGGAGACTGTAGTAGACGCAGGTCTCATCGAAATTGAATTGGTTCCCTGGGGTCACGCCAAGCTGGTCGCACAGCCTCGGGAAATGTAGTTGCGCGGTCAGAGCGGCACCCTCGTCGGTGGACTTCGCCTCACTGCTCATCTTACGCCACTTGAATCCCATTCGGCGCAATGCTTTTTGAACCCATCCAACAGAAGCATTGAACTCGCTAGGCACATTGCACTCGGGTGCTAGAAGTATCGCACGCTGCTAGATTAGAGCCGTTGAGACTGATAAGCCAGCACCATTGGTGCTTTTCAGCCAGCTCTTGAGTCGAGCTTCAAGCAAAGGCCAGTGTGCTTTCCGCACCCTTTTGAACATGGCGCGTTCGGGCCCGATGGCCCGCCACTTCTGTTTTGTTTGCAGAACTCGCCCGATTGTGCTATGATCTGGCCACAGGCCGTATCTGGTGTGGCACCATTGCCCAATGTCTTCGAGCCGCAAGGTCGGATTCTTCTTGGCGTACTGGCAGATTGCAACCTTCTGCCTGACGGCGAGCACATTTTCGCGTACAGGCGCCATGTGGACGACCTCGTGGGTGTGCCGGGCTCGTTCCTTATGTCATGAAGAGGTCGTTGTTTGTGTTGAGAAGCTAGGTTTGGAGCTAGGCATAGGAAAGTCGCGAGAGGTTTTAGACTAGGAGTGGAATGTCGAGAGAGAGGAGGGGGAGATTGGAAGTGAGAGGGATACAAGGAGTGAGTTGTATCCTCTACAGTATGATTCAGCAAGGTAGCACATCTACCAAGCCTAAACAAATAATTATTTACGTATATAATTTGACAGTTTGAGACATATACATAACCCGGGGGTGTCTGCACTGCTGGCGGGGGTAACGATGGTTGGGACCGCTCTGTTGCTTCCTTGGCGCGTCCGTATTGGCTGTGGGTTCCTAGGGTAACGCCGATGGATTCCGTTGGCGTTGTTGGTGTAATTCTAGTGGACCGTCAACAAACTGGTAGTATCTAGCGCATCATATGGATTTTTGCCTTGACATTGGTTGGCGAGCCTGATACGTCTGGATTTTTTAAGGCTCGCTGACCACTAGGTGTGGTCACTCAGAAATCCTACGGACAAACTTATTGGACGGCCTTGGATCAGCCGAATTGACCGTCTAATCCACTGTTAAGTTGAGACGGGTACACTTTGCGTACAAGGAGTGGCCCTTAAGGATAAAATTAATATAGAGTACTCCCGGGCGTAAAAGGGGGTTGTCTACAAGGCATATGATATGTATTTTGATACATGAGCTTGAGTGTGATTCATTTTTCACAACCGATCTTTTGCAGGACTTTCATGTCATTATTCATAATGTATGTGTTAAATTATGTTGGTTATATATAATTGTAGGCTTGGTAGGCAACACTGAAACATACTGTGGACGGTACAACTCCCTCCTTGTATCCCTCTCTCTTCTAATCTAACTCTCTTTTCTCTCGATAACTTTCTCCTAGCCTAAAACCTCTCGCTATTCATGGTGTCTTCTCTTCCTACCTAGAATATTTAGTTCAACATGGTATCAGAGCAGGTTCCCCCTCACGGGCCTGTTCCCCACGCTTCCGCCGCGTACTCGCTCTTCTCTCGTCATTTTCGTCCTGACGTGGCGGCCATGCCGAGCTGCCATGGTGGCTCCGTCGTGCTGCCGTTGCAGCCCCGACGCGCTGCCATAGCATCGACGACACGACGTGGCGACGTCGTCGTGCTGCCGTGGCAGCGTCGACGTGCCGCCACAGCATCGACGTCGCGCTTTGGCGGCGTCGTCATGATGCCGTGGCGGCGTCGTCGCGCAGCAGCGGGCTGCGCTTCGTTTTAGGCGGCGCCAGCCCTGACGCCAGCACCCAGGCTAACGCCAGCCACGGGCGTGTTGCAGGACCACAGCCCCTTCCCCCCCTGTGTCTTCCTCTCCTCCATCCGCAGCTGCTGCCTCAATGCTCGGTCGTCGCCGGGTCGTGCCACGCCGACGAGTGCCGCGAGCTTCGCCGTAGCCCCTGCCGCCGTCGAAGCCGCCGCCGCCGCCGCTGATGCCGCTGGCCTTTCTTGCCGCCGCACGCCGCCGCCGCCGCTGTCGTCACTGCCGCCGCTGACGTCGTTGCTGCCACCCACAGGGGGTGTCATCGCTTTGTACGAAGGGTAGAAGACTCACCAGCTGCGGCACATTAGGGTGCCAGGGTTTTGGGGGTGTTTCGTGTGGGGTGGGCTTGCCGCTACCAAGCCTAGGGGGTGTGTTAAATTATATTGGTTATATATAATTGTAGGCTTGGTAGGCGTTACTGAAACCTACTGTAGAGGGTACAACTCCCTCCTTGTTGTCAAACAAATCTTAGTATGTTCTTATAGACTATATAGGGTTGTGCCTTAGACAGTACAACCCACTAGGATATATTCCATTGTATCCCACCTTTCTAGTCATTCGTTTTTAACTTTAATATGATATCATGAGTAGGTTAGGTCCCCCCCGCCCACTAACGCTTCCGCCCTAGGTCCTAGCCGTCCCATTGCCCTCCCGCACATGCTGGCCCGTCTCCTAGCCAGCCCCATCGCCTAGCCGGCCCTGTCGCCTAGCTGGCCCCGTAGCCCAGTCGGCCCCGCCTCCTA